CAGGAAAGACAAGTGTGAGCTCAAGGAACAGACGGCACCAGGCTAGTGTGGCCATCGGGCACAGAGCAATGAAGGTGGTCCGGCAAAGATGCAAAAAGTTTGTGTATTCTGCAAATTATAGGGTCATCCATCTCTTTGGCTGCTAAACTCCGCCGCTCCACCTGATCCCGGCGCGGCGCAGCGGGCGGGCTGAGGCCGAAGGAGCAGGCAGGCGCCACCATGTCCTAACAGGGCAAGAAGAACATCCCGCGGATCACGGTGAGTGGCGCCGCCGCCTCCGGGGCTCCCGGGCGGCGCCGCGGGCGGGGCAGGACCGCCGGCCTCCCTGGCCGTCCGCGGGACCGGAGGCGACCGGGAAGGGACGGGGCCGTGGAGGCACAAGGGCGGGGACCCAGGGGAGGGACAGGACCTGTGGAAGGGCGGGTATCCAAGGATGGACGGAACGGGGACCCAGGGAGGGAATGGAGACCCGAGGAGGGACGACGATCCGGGGGGGGGACAGCTGGGGGGGCGGGAACCGAAAGGAACAGGGACAGGGTCCGGCGTCGACGAGCGGCGGGGCGACCCAGAGCGAGAGACTCGGGCTCGGGCAGACAAAACAAAGAGGCAGCCCGGTCAGCATCGCGGGGAACTTCGGATGCTGCGTCCTCTCTGCCCACCTCCACGGCTCCGGCTCCCACCGGCCCCGCCCGGGTGCCGCCCAGGCCGAGGTGCGCTTTTGTCTGAGGTTTCCCTGGTGGGCGGGGAGGAACGCCACCTCCCGGGATCCCCAGGGACTGGTGGCTCCCTTTCCCAGCCCTGTGTTCCCGCCCTGCGCCCGTGGTGGGGTGTCCACCACCTGTTCTAGCCCGGGGTGGGGTGTCCGCTCCCTGCCCTCGACCAAGGTGGCGTGTCTAACTACCTGTCCTCCCCTGTGGTGGGGTACCCTGCGCCCTGGGTAGAGTGTTCATCTCCTGTCCCCACCCGGGGTGAAGTGTCCTCCTGTCTTCGCCGGGTGTGGGGTGTCCTCTTGTCCTTGCCCGGGGTGGGGTGTCCCCCGTCCTCGCCCGTGGTGGAGTGTCCACGACCTGCCCTTCCTGCCCGCGTACACCAGGCTCATGCTTCGTGCGTCATTTTCGGGACTGGACTGCAAGCAAGGTTGAGGCGCTACGATCACCTGTTTTTGCCCTCAACACATTTTCCATGGTTCATCCGTTTCTCTCCCTCATCCCAAAAAAGGCCGCCAAGAAAGTCCGAGCTCTAGAGATTTGTGGTGCGCTGTTTCGGGCCCTCGCCTTGGTGCTCACCCATTGTGTGCAACCCAAGCCCCCGGAGGTTGGCCGGGTGTGCCGGGGGTGAGGACGAGCCGCTTCTAGGTGCCGAGGCGCGTCTGCACCAGTCTCCCAAGGAGCTCCCGGTAACACGCCACACCCGGGCTGGGGCTCCGCGGGGATGTCCCGAATGATACCACCGAATAGTAGGGACATGTGTCAGTCTGGGTTGGCATTTCGAAAACCACATTAACATTTACTAGATTGTCATGAGGCACTGCTGCTGCGCTATCTAGTGAATGGGACGGTGTGCGCGCCTATGTGTGTGTGGGCACGTGGTGTGTGTGTGTGTGTGTGCGCGCGTGT